CACCTGTGTTTTGACTGGGAAATCACCAGGGTATGGAATTTCTGCACTCTGAACCATCTCCCTGCATATGAGGGACTAATCTTTTTGAAGAGTCCACCTAAATGAGTGTGTGGATCCCACCTGGAAGTGGCTTTGCTGCCACCAGCGCAGAGCAGGGCTGTGATACAGCTAATCTCAGCTTTAATGGGAATGAAATCTCTCTTAATTCTTTCTGTTTGGATGGAAAGAAAGTTCAGCCTTGTGGAGAGGGAGCAAGGAAGGTGGGCAAGGGTGCAGGAGGAGATTCAGGCTTCTGCTTCTCGGAGGGATGTGAGCCGGGCTCGTTCTTGGCAGGCACAGGAACCTGCTTGAGCTGGCAGGTGCTCTGGAAATGGAAATATTTTATCCTGCCTTATGTAATGCAGCAGCATATCCAGAGATGAGTCCCCTGCAATTTTCTGGCCCGCAAGGGATAATTTTCTGCTTGAGATCTTGGCCTTAGTTGTGAATTTCCTTGCTCGTGTGGAGCGTGTGTTCCATGTGATTTCTGTATACATAATAGCTGCTGCTTGAACTTCAGTAATTTAGGTAAATTTGTTTATGGCTGTTGGATGAGTAAGAGCAGAAAATCTTTGTTCTTTGAGTTGTATAAATACATGCAAATACACCCTGTCCTACTGGGTAGCTATAGCAGAGGAAGGGGCTGCAGATCCTCCTCTGCATCTAACTGAAATAGGTAGTAAATGCATACTGTGGGGTTAAAGAGTAGGTAGGACTGGAATTCATATTATTGGGGTTCCTGGCTTCCTTTGGTGCCTCAGTTTCAGTTTTTATTCCTAAACGTGGAGAAGCCTCTGCAGTGTGGATTGGACTGGCTGTAAATAGTCATGAATGACCACACATGGCACTAAGCCTGCTCTGATTCAGGGTCAGTGGTCTCTGACTGTGGCTGGTAAGCAGAACTTGCCCATGAAGCCTTCTGATCCCTCCTGAGGCTGCGGGAATTGATAATCCATCAGTGGTGAGCATGATGGGCTCAAAAGCCTCTGCAACTCAGGAGGGACTGAGATACTGCAGGAATGTAGAAACAAGAAGATTATTTCTGTTTTGTTCTTCTAAAACAAAGGCGTTGAAGCTCTTATGTCTTTTAGACAGAAGAGATTTTTGACTTTGGATGAGGGTTGCTCATGTTCCCTGAGGACGAATTATCTGGTGATCTGGTGTGCAGAGGTTGGCACACGCTGAGGTCAGCTGAGTTAGTCTTGTTCCTTTGAAGTCTTACGCTTCTCATGAGCCAAAACAACTCGGGCAAAATCATCACCGTAGAGTCTGCCCTTGTCAGGCTTAGAAATGAAGAGTTATCCTCAAGCAAAGGAGTCAAGAGAAAAGCACCAGATGTTTCATCATCTAAAAACCTTATTCATACTTGTGTGTTTTGGGCAGAGACTACAAAGACTTGCTAGTGTATAAGGTAGTGAGGGACATGCAGGCTAGAAGTTGACTCCATGTGAAGGAGAAACCAATCACTTCAAAGCCACTAATACCTTCTGGATGGTTTTTGCCACTTATTTGATACTCAGATTAAGCTTGGCATGGTCTGAAGTTGTTCCAGGGGAGATTCAGGTTGGATGTTAGGAAAAAATCATTCTCTGAAAGAGTGGTGAGGTGCTGGAATGGGCTGCCCAGAGGGGTGCTGGAATCACCGTCTCTGGAGGTGATCAGTGAATGTTCAGATGTTGTAAGGGACGTGGTTTAGTGGGGAAATATTGGTGATAGGTGGATTGTTGGACTGGATGACCCTGGGGGTCTTTTCCAGCCTCGGTGATTCTATGTTCAAAGCCGGTCAGAGATGGGGAGCAGCCCTCTGTGCCCATCCAAGGTAATGAGTGAAAGATTGATAATTAGTTCAGAAGGTAAAGAGGGCAGTGGTGAACGCTGTGGAGTAAATGGAAGTGAGTCAGGAAAAATAATAGATGAACAAAGCAAATTCAGGAAGAGGGCATCACACTGAGGAATAATCTAAAATGTGTGCAAACAGTATTCCCTAAAGCGTGTATTTGCTGCAGAGAGACTCCTTGCCTTATGAACAGAAGCAGATAGGATTGTATGTCCTCCATCAGCTTTGCAGTTTCACACTTAGAGGCAGCGAAAAGCCCATGGCAGGGTAAAGCAGAGGGCCAGGTCCTGCTGACCATGAATACAGAAAGGTCTCTGTAACTGTGACCCTGGGTGAAGGGTAAGGACTATTGGATCACACTGGTTCTCCCTGCGTGAGGTAGGCAGCCCGCAGCTTCTGCATGTCCTCTTCTTGGCTGTTGAGGTTGGATATCATGAAAAGTTCATTCTCAGCGTGGTGATTCACTGGCACAGGCTGCTCAGTGAGGTGCAGGAGTCTCTGTGCCCAGAGGTTTTCAAGAAGAAAGTAGATGTGGCACTGAGGGATATGGTGTGTGAGCTGTGGTGCCACTGCAGGGCCACCTCTGCTGGTGCTCACCCAACCCAAACGCTTGCACCCCCTGCAACTGTGTGCCAGCCTTGAGCTCTCCTCCTGCTTCACGCCACGGCAGGGCATGTCTCTGGCTCGGTTTGTGACCACAGTGGTGGTCTGAAGAGATGCAATGGGTGAGGAAGGCTGGTTGAGGTGTGGATGAACACGCCACCCCTGCTCTTCAGCTGCAGTCCCAGTGCCCTGAAGCACAACAGTGGTACAAGGCTTAGCCCTGCGCCTGCAGAAAAGAACAACAACAAAATAGGGGAAAAAAGAAAGAAAAAGAATTCTGTGCTTTAAAAAAGAAAAAACAGAAAAAAGGTAATGTGTGATGTATTGCCAAGAGTGGAGAGAGGGCAGAGGTTGAGGCACACCTTCCCTGGGGACAGGGAGCGACTGAGTCAGCAGGAAAGGTCACTCTGCCCAAAGGCTCTGGTTGCAAAGAAGGGGATTTCGTAAGGGAAACTGCTGCAGTGTTTTCATGTTCAGTGCTGACAGCGTGATAGCTCAGTGTGTGCACGTAGGAGCAGCAGTTCTTGTAGATGGGGGGCATAGGGCAGCGATGGTCAACCCCAACTGCCCTCTGAATTTCTTATTTGTCCTTTGCTTTCTTTCTCCCCCCCCCCCGGGTCTCCGGGGGCCACTGCTCCCTCTTTAGTTCTGGCATTTAATCTCTTTGTCACACTGTTTGTTTTGAGTCCCTGGCTTCTCTTCCAGCTCCAGTTCAGGGGTCATTATCACATATGATTAGTCTTGGAGCCTAACGAAGGGGATCAGACGTAACTCGAGGGTATGTCTGAGCCACTTAGACTTTCTGAGCTCAAAGATCTGCAGAGGAAGTTTATTTTTAAGGTTCCTGAGAAGATAAATTTGAATGTTGGGTTGTTTGGGGTACAAGTAATATAAATGAAATTGCTCCAGGGTAGCAATGCCCTCTGGGATTTGAAGAATCCCAGGGATAATTATCCAGTGCTGAGTAAGTCTCAGTAGTCTTGAAATAGCTTTTAGTAGATGATCACATTTTTCTTTGTGCTGGCTGGTCTGAAAGCTGGAAGCCATACATTAGCATTTAGCCTTGATTATCAAGAGGAGCATCAACACATTCTTAACACTGCATTACCTAGGGAAAGCCACGCATGGAAGCACGAAACTCTTATGTGACATAACAGCCCCAGGAAACAAACAAGCACATTTGGAAGCCTGCTTTCTGAGGTCCCACGGCTGGGTGTTGGAGCAAGGTGAGGTCCGAGCATCCTGAGGGCTGCTCCAGCTGTGTGCCTGCACTCCAGCTCAGTGGTGACGTGGCTGTGCAGTGACTCAGCTGCCCCTCCTGACTGTCAGCCGGCGTGATGCAGATCATTAGTCACTAATTGGTGTGGATAGCCTTTTTTTAGGCTTCCTGAAGAAGCCAAGGGTCTCACTAACCACGTGCAGATGAATTGGTCTCTCACCTTGCCAGCCTTTGGGTCCATCAGGTGATACACAGAGGGCTGTTTTGCTGTGCTGTGTCAAGCTGACTCAACCTTGTAAGCAATATGGGGCTTGACAGAGGACAACAATTCGCTAATGCTATTTTTTTTTTTCTCACCACCCTCCATCCCCTGTGCTTCTCATCTTTGGTTCCATCTCCACATCCATAACCTCTGTGTACCAGTAGGTTGGGTACCACGCTCAGATACCCAACTGACAGCTGTGGATCTGTCTCTTTACCAAAGTCTTCTATGCCATTATTGCTGAGGAAAGGGGTTAGCAGTCTTGAAGACAGGTTTTTGCCACCAGCTGCAATACCTGCATTTTCTTGAAAACCCTCTTTTCTGGCTGTGGCACCAGCAGCACCCTTGGGTGAACTGGAGAGGGGCTGTGGGTCTGGCATCACTTGCTTGGCTGCAGCAAGCTCTACATCTGTGCTTGGTCCTTTCCATGCTCTAAGCAACCAAAGGAAGCCCTGTAGATCTTCCCCATGTAGGCAGCCCCACACTTGTCCTGTGGCATTGCCAAAATGCTAATGTGAGCATCCTGGCAAGGGGTTGCACAGGGATTCTTGTGGGCGTGCTATGTTCCCCTTCACCTCTTCTACCTTCTCTTCCCATTTGACATTTATGCCAAGCTATTCTCACAAAGTTTTGCTTTGGCTTTATTTTTATCCAATTTCCCAGTGCCCCCCCCATCCCAGCTCCACATGCCCTAGGCTGAAGGCAGCTCTGATGACTCACAGGATGGCAGGAAAGCCAGAAGCAGGCTGAAGCCGTGCAGTTGGTGACGTTGCTGGAGCTGTGTGGACTCTGCCTATGCGGTGCCACCACCATAGGACAGGCTTGTGTCCCTTATCTGAGGAGTCTGGAGAGACCATGTGCCGGGAAGACCTTTGTTGTGATAGCTGGAGGAATAAAGTCCAGGGGGAAAGCAGGAGCATTTCCCTGGCGGGAAGGAGTCAAAACTCAGAGCTGTCCCGCAGCAGAGCTGCACAGCCAATGTGAGGACACCACTTCAGCCACTGCTTTGCTTCACGCTTCTCACTCTCCCTCTCTTGCAGCTGCGTAAATGAGTATGGAAGATTATGATTTCCTCTTCAAAATTGTTTTAATTGGCAACGCCGGTGTGGGGAAGACCTGCTTGGTGCGACGCTTCACCCAGGTAAGGTTGGGCACCTGTTGGGTGGGAGAGTGGATGTCCCCACCAGCACTGCATCTCCATGGGGGGGAGTTTGTTGTCCTTGCTCGTGGCCTGGTGTAACCCATAGCGAGGTACCAGCACGAGCACTGCATCAGTACTTGGTGCTGTACGTGGTCCTGCTGGGGCTCTAGCTGTAAGGACCTTCTGGTGCTCTCTCTATGGACTTTCTCATTCTCATCCCTCTAGGGTAGGCCAAGCTGCTGCTGCACAGAACTGTCCCTAGAATTGTTCATCAGTAGGAGATTAATTAATTTGGTTCCTGGGCTATTAGCCCAGGGTCTTCTGTTAACATCAGATCCCCTTTAGGGGTTACACCTGAAGAGTTAATGGGGACACTGAATGAATTGAAGCAGTGTGAAATGGTGCTGGCAGCAAAATGAGACCTTGTGGCAAAAATCTGTGCTCCCTGTATTTGTGGCTTTACACATAGCAGCTCTCAAAGACCTTTTAGTAACAGTGGAGGCCGGTGAGACAATATCTGCCTGGTTGCTGACAGTGAGTCAAATGCAGAGCTTTCGGAACTGCCTTTGCTTTTTTTGTGACGGAATAGCAAGGAAGGAACCAGGCATCTGTAATTTGGGCTCAGAGTTTGCATGATGTGCTATAAAATCAAAGTTATGTTTGCTTTTTTTAAAATTTTTTTTAAAACTAATAATGTTAAGCATGCTCTCTGATTGCCTGTACTAGCTGATGGCAGCGAAGCTGCTCAGATCAGAAGGGTTAACTGCAAAATCTGCTGCTGCTATTCTTTGCACCTTGGCAGTGTTGCTGCTGCTGTAGGGGATGGCTGTGCCCCAAAACCAAAACAGCTTTGCAGGCTGGGACACCAGAAATCAAAAAGCTCTGCTAAGTTCTGTTTGGTTGGCTGTACTCCTCCCTTCTGGAAGCTGAACTTCCAGCTGCAGGCTGTGCTCTGGGAGCAGCATCCAGCTGCTCGGGAGCTGCTGAGGGTGCCCTGGGCACTTCTCTTCAGGTTCCCATTTCTTTCAAGGCAATGAAAAATTGGATCAGAGAGCCTTTCCCTTGCTTCTGTGCATTCGGAAGAGGCAGAAGGTATTTTCCCCTCTCCTTTTCCCTTTGTGTGTTATAGAGCAATAGAATACCCCAAATTGAAAGGGACCCACAAGGGACTGCAACTCCTGGCTTGACACAGGACCACCCAAAATTCAAAGCTGGGGAAATGTCACTTTTTGTTTAACTTCCCATAAGAGGTGGCAGTAAATTGTGTGGCTTCATCCAGTGGGTGGAGTGGGGATGGGTCAGCATGCAGAGCTCTCCAGACCCAGTCCCCACTACCTGGAGCAGCAGAGAAAGCAGTCATACCTTTCAGTGCAGCTCCTTCAAGGGTGTTCTATGTAAATGATAGAAATAAGTGTCTGGGGAACCGGGCAAGGGAGAAGCAGGGATGGGGACACCCAGAGGGAGTCTTGCCTTGCTGCAGAACTTGTTAACAAAACTTTTCTTTCAGGGGCTTTTCCCACCAGGCCAAGGAGCCACGATTGGGGTTGACTTTATGATTAAAACTGTGGAGATAAATGGTGAAAAAGTAAAGGTAGGAACATGATGGTTTTCATTATAAACTCATATGGTGGCACAATAGTTTGGCTTTCTTGCTTCAGCCCTCCTGCTGGATCTTAACAGCGGATCTCAGGATCTTAACAGTGAACCTGCTGTAAGGAAGAACATGGAAAGGGGAGATCTTGCAAAGCTTGTCTCCCACTTTGTTGAGTTACAGACCTAAGAGGAGTGATGAGATCGCAGTACTGGTGCTTTGCTCAGCAGGTTGAAGTGAGCTCTTTTACTCTCCAAAGTGGGGTGTTTGCAACCAAATCATCACCTTGTCCTCTGCTACCTTCAGAAACTAGCCAGGGTATCATTTGGCAAGGAGATGGGTGAAAACACACTGGGGTCCAAGCTAATTCTTTACTGGGAGCTGTGGTTCAGTTCCAATACCCAAAGATGCTGACTGGTGCTTCTTAAGTCATTTGAGATTTCACCAGAGCTATTGTGGTGATCAAGACCTGTGAAAAGAGTATGAACCTCCTGTGTCACAGAATCACAGAATCACAAGGTGGCCGGAGTCCCTGAGCTGCTCCTGGAATTATTTTTCCTGTGTTAAATACCTGTCCATGAGTATTGAGCTGAAGAACACAATTTTTTTTTCCCTTGCTGCCTTCATCTTATCTAATGGTGAGCGCGTGGGAGAGTGGCAGCAGTGTGACAGTGGCTGGCTGTGAGATCGAGACCTATCTTTAGGCTTGTGGGAGTGGTGGGATGGAAACAGTGCACTTAGGCAAATTTTCAGTCCTGCAAATTTTTCTACCTGTGTTTTAGTGCAGTGTTTTGGTGTTTTTTTTTTGTTTTTTTTTTTTAAGTAGAAAGCCATGGAAGTGGAAGTCAGTTTTAAAAGCACTTTGCTGCTTGAGTAGCTGTACAGACTTATGGCAAGTGATGGTCCTTGACCAAGAGACCTTCCAGCCTGAGCAGATGGAGGATATCATCTAGTCCAACCCCTGCTTAAGCAGGCTCGCTAGAGTCGGTTGGAAAAAATGAAATTGAGTTCATTTGTACCTTACCTACCTGCCATAATCCAGCTGTCTTGAGACCCTCCTGGTCAATGGAGGAAGAAAGGCAGTTTTGGAGGAAGGCTTTCCCATCTGCTGCAGGCAGTTCCCTTCCTAGTTGCCTCTCTGCTGCCATCTGTGTGTCCTGCTGGTGCAGATGGAGCCCCAACAGCTTTGCTTCTGTCTGAGGTCCAGGTTTTGAATGACTGAAGTTAGTGGAAGTCACCAACGTTGAGTCTTGCCGAAAGGCAGAAGGATTCCTGTTTGCCTCTTGCATTAGTGCAGGCAGGGAGGTGAGCTTGTAGATGAGGTTTTCTGAGTAAGCAGTGCTAGTAAGAATCAACATATAATGAGTGAGAAAAGCAGGGATGACTCACAGCATGGAGTGGAAAAAGTGACATCTCAGTGCAGTGAGGCACTTCTGTGAGCTCATGGAGCTGTGCCCAAGCCATGAGTGCCTCTGTGCCAGGCAGCGTCTCCTGCAAAGCCACTGAAATCCAGAGCCATGCACCAAGAAGGTTTTCAGACTTACAAATAAATGTCTTGGAAAAATACTCTTTAGCTTTTAAAATTACATTGTAAAGTCAGTGGAGAGGGACTTGCTAGCTTGAGTCATATGTAGGACATTTCATATGGAAGGCTGCTAAGGGTCGCTGGTAGATACCCCAGGACAACACTCTGCAGTTTAGGGGTTTTTCATCTATCTGATCATTTCTGACAGAACTAAATGCACGTGCAGCGTGTGCTCTGAGGGGCTACACAGCTGTGATAGTAATTGCAGTGCCAGTCACCCATAAGCATCCTCACCACTACAAACACAAGGCTCTGCTGCGTGCACCTGTGATCCTACACACTTCCCCATGTGCAAAAGGCTCAATGTATGTGCAAAATGCTGGGGCAGAGGGAAGCATCAGCTGCCTCTCAGGAAATGAACATCCAGGTAACTTCTGCAGGTGGAGTCAGCCCTGGCCAACAACAAACCATCTGCCACTTTTGATTTCCAGTCTTACCTTAAAGCAGTGTGGTCAAGCCTTTATCTGCTCACAGACATTCACAATGAATGCAAAGCATTTATCTACTAAGTGTAACCACTAGGCCAATCTGTAGGTGTTTTTCCTACAGAATTAACTGGACAAGAACTGCAACAAAGTTGTCAGTACTTTTTCCATCTGTGGAATTAGGAGGCTGGTTTGTTTCAAAGGGAACTCGTTGGCTATGCCTAGAGATTAAGCACAAGGCTGCCAGGAGCTGCAAGCCAGCAACAAATTCCTTTCTCTGCAAAAATGTACTTTTTCAAAATCATACCCCACATCTGAAAGCTGCTAATGAGGGCTCTTGTTTCAAGCTAATGTATTTGTGATGAGTAACTGACATAGTTTGACTTTGGAACTGGGCTAGAATAAGGCTTCCTCTGTTGTGGGCTGCTGAATATATGGAAAAAATCTCAACTACTTTTAACTTTTTCTTCCCAAACTACACAGGGTTCTGTCTGGAAATCAGCCGTCCACATATTTAATTCCAAAGAGGGGTGCTTAAAAAGTACAAACTGAAGCAGAGCAATGTGCTTTTATGCAGATATATGTTCATTTTGAATGCTTTTCTTTACTGCCTTTTTGAAAAGTTGTGGTTTTGGTGACAAACCAAAAGCTGTCAGAGGGTCAAGTTATGAAAATGGTCCAAGTTCGATTCATACAGGGAAATGAATGTTGTTTTTCAGGGCCTGGAGAACTTGCCAAGCAGCGGTTCAACTCATGACCTCTGAGCTGTAGTGAGGGATCACACTGATCACGTTGGGAAGGGAGGCAGCCAGCAATGGGGTGGGACCTCTGAAGGAAATGTGTTGGATTCCCTAGATGAGCCTGCAAATCTGAGCTGGTGGTTTCCACCCTCCAGTACATCATCTCGGGTTAAATCACTGACTCTCAAAGCTCGAGGAGAGGCTTTCCTGTGGCTGCTGGGACAGACCCTGCTGGGGGTCGGACCGCAGAGCAGGAGCAGACTTTCTGCCTGCATCGCATAGGCCAGCAGCTCTGTCCCCATGAAAGCCCTGTGAGTGCTGCGGGGGGAGTCGGCAGCAACACCAGCTGACTTTGTGCCTTGCATTTCAATCTGCAAAGGCAGAAATGGAAACAAAAAAAAAAGGGCTGGGGGATGGGAAGCCAAAGGGGAGAAGAGCAAAGCGCTTTCTCAGCAGTGGCTGTACCCTGAAGGCGTTTAGGTCAAAACAGCACTGCTAACAAAAAAAAAAAAACCAAAAAACCGCAACCAAAAAACGTCTTTAAATGATGTTTTTTCTCCTCTCCTCGTTGTGCCAAAAGCTGCAGATCTGGGACACGGCAGGACAAGAGCGGTTCCGCTCCATAACACAGAGCTACTACCGCAGCGCCAACGCCTTGATACTCACCTACGACATCACCTGCGAGGAGTCCTTCCGCTGCCTGCCTGAGTGGCTGCGCGAGATCGAGCAGTACGCCAGCAACAAGGTCATCACTGTGCTAGTGGGTGAGTGGCCTGAAGGGGGGCGAGCTGCCACCTGGGGTGCTTGGTGACAAAGAAGTGGCGTCTGCTTGATGCTTGAAGCGATGCGGCAGGTCTTGCTGCCATGCAGAGCTGTGGGTTTGTTTGGGTCATTCCTCCTGCAGATGACTCCAAGGTGCAGATGGAGTTGTTCAGGACTCTACAGCTGTTTGTCAAAGCGTAGAATCGTTAAGGTTGGAAAAGACCTCTAAAAGATCGTCTAGTTCAGCTGTCAACCCATCCCCACCATGCCCACTAACCATGTCCCCCAGTGCCACATCTCCATGGCTCTTGAACAACTCTAGATGTCTCAACCAGCTCCCTGGGCAGCCTGTGCCAATGAGTTATCACTTTCTGAGAAGAAACTTTTCCTAATGTCCTATCAGAACTTCCCCTGGGGCAACTTAAGGCCATTCCTTCTTGTCCTGTCATTGTTACCTGGGACAAGAGGCCAACTGCTACCTTGTCACAGCCTCCTTTCAGGTCTCCCCTGAGCCTCCTCTTCTCCAGACTGAACAATCTCAGTTCCCTCAGCCACTCCCAGTAAGATTTGTGCTCCAGATCCTTCACCATCTTTGTTGCCCTTCTCTGGATGTCCTCTCTCAAGCCTAATGCTACTTCATGCAGAGGTGGATAATTCCCATGGATTGGTCCCATAAAGCACTGAAACATTGGTTGTGTAGCTCTGCAGAGCTAAGAATGGGAACTTATCCCTTGTGACTCCCAGGCCAGACCTCTCCGTGTAATTGAGGATCTGCTCAAGCTGGGGATGTGTGCAGGCTGATACTCCCCACAGCTGTGGACAGCAGAATCTTGGCTCAAATGTGGAAACCAGCTCAGGATGCAATAGCAATCTTAGCATTCATGGATGAAGCAGAGATGAAAAAGTGGGTATTTTTGCATGGATTTTAGGGAACCTAAAAATAAATACTGAATGTCACGTTAATCTATAGCAGCTTCAGCTCAAGCTGAAACAGACCTCAGGCCATCTGTCTGCTACAAGCAAGGTGAAGGGTATTTTGCTTACCCCTGCTTCTCCATGCTCTGCTTTTATATACCTGATAGTCCAGGACTTGACTTTTAAAGGCCCAAGAATATATACAGAGAAATGGAAACGTAACCTGGGTAAAGCCAGAAAGTTTCATACTGCAATGCCATTATTTCTTTAGTTGTTTGCTGCTTACAAGAAAAATCTAGAGCATTATAAAATATGTTCAATATGTCTTTAAAGATCTTTTGAATTTTACATGCCCTGATAGTGTTGCAAGTGAGCCTTGGGATTTAAGGAGCTTCCATGCAAGAAACTCATTACACTCTGTAAGAAGAGTATGGCTCATGTACAAATGGAACAGAAATAATTAATGACTAGCAAATGTATGCATTAATTTTTAGGGAACATTAAGTTAATTATCTGTATCTGCTGTATGAAATATAAATGATGAGTGCCATAGCACCCACTTTGAAGATGGTAACACCCATTAACTGCTTTGAGTGATAATTTGTTTAGAACTGGTAACTTCAGTGTATAGAGTAGGTCCAAGACTTCTTTGGTCAGAGAAGAAGAGGGATGTTAGATGGAAGGAGAGCAATGGGAGGTGGCTCGCCAGTGGAAGTGCAGCCTTGTCCCATGGGTGCTCATGCCAGCTCCAGGACAAGGCTGGGAGAGGTTTCCTCCTGAACCTGCAGAATAACTGGACACGGCCCCCCGCTATCCTGTGTTTCGTTATCTTCCTTGTAAGATCAATTTATGGCCCAAGAATTGTGTTTGAAGTGAAGCGGTCAGTAACAAGCTATAATCATATCAGATCTTTGTTGGAGATGTTAATCAATCCCTTGATAAAATGAGCTCTGGAGGAAGGGACTGGTTCCTTGCCCTGCCTCGCTCCGGGAGCCCCTCAAGCCCATCCATGTTCCAAGCCAGACTGCTCACAGGTATATTTAATTAAACTAGGAGAGCACTTCCTGCACCAGGCTCCCTTAAAGCTTGTAATGACGTGAGGAATATCACACTTAATGTCTCACATGCTGTAATTGACAGTTTAAGTGCTCCTCAGAGCCAGAACAGGGGAATTTTCAGTAGACATTAAAATGGAAGTCCTTTAATGTCAGTTGATAGCAGCAAACAAATGCACTGGTGCTAAATTAAAGCTGACTGACTTGGATGTTCACAGAGCATGTTCCATTAGGTGAGCTGATTGATATTGAATGAACCCAGACCATGAGTTGGGGAACCAATTATTTGAAAGGGAGAGCACTGAGTTTCACATCAAAAGCACTGTCCATGCATATGGAATTATTGAATTGTTTGAGTTGGAAGGGGCCCTTAGAGGTCCATCTAGTCCAACTTGCCTGCAATAAGCAGGGACACCACAGCTCCATCAGTGCTCAGAGCCCCATCCAGCCTGACCTTCAGTGCCTCCTCAGATGGGGCATCCACCACCTCTCAGGGCAACCTGTGCCGGTGCCTCACCACTCTTATTGTAAAAACTTTTTTCTTATATCCAGTATAAATATCCCCTCTTTGGGTTTGAAACCATTTCCCCTTGTCCTGTCACAACAGACGCTGCTACAGAGCCTGTCCCATTCTTTCTTACAGACCCCTGTTAGATACCGAAAGGAAATTGGTACCAAACCAGTACCAAACTTTTCCTTACCCCAAACTTTTGTTTATTTTGTTTTGAAAGTCAAATTAATTTCCTCTCTACAATCTTCTACCAATGCAGGTAATAAGATTGATTTAGCTGATAAGAGGGAAGTCTCCCAGCAGAGAGCAGCGGAATTCTCCGAGGCACAGGACATGTACTATCTGGAAACCTCAGCAAAAGAATCGGATAATGTGGAAAAACTCTTCCTGGACTTAGCCTGCCGGCTGATCAGAGAGGCACGGCAGAACACCCTGGTGAACAATGTCTCATCCCCCTTACCAGGAGAGGGGAAAAGCATCAGCTATTTGACTTGCTGTAATTTTAATTAAAGAGCTGGCATGCGATTCCCCATCCGCCGTGGACCTGAAGATTTTTCGCTGGGATTTGTCTCCTCAGAGGGAATTCCGCCTTGACCCATCTGACTTCCTCGCAGTCAGGTCGCAGACCTAGAAGCATGGCAGGCTGACAGCTCCAGCTGCATGGCAACGTAGCAGAATATAACGTGGTTCACATTTAATTTTTCTTGCAGTCTGTGGAGTGGGTTAGGAGAAAGGAGAGTTGCACAAGAGCTTCATGTGATGCAGAAAATGAGCTATCGCGTTTCCTTCTGGGGGAGATTAGAGCAACCTGTCTTGGGGAAGATTTGGAAGAGGTCAAAATCTCTTACAGAACAATGTGTTTGTTCCTTTTTAAAAGAAGAAAAAAACCAACAATGAGCACTGACCCAGGACTACGCTGGCAATCATCTGGGCTGCCAGCGGAGTGAATTCTTGGGATGTGTATATAGCGTCTTTGTGGAGGAAGGTGTTTGAAGTAGTGTTATGTCTCTCATCTACAGGCACTTTCATGAACACGGAATAATAAAAAAAAAAAGTTATGTATCTCAACATTTCCAAACAACAGTTTGAGAAGGCATGGATACAGCTCAGTTGCTCCCTTTGGTGCTAGCAGTTCAGCAAATATTCCATAGACCAAATGTAGTTTTACTACATTGCTGTCCTCTGAATGTGTAACCTAGACTGATTAAGAAAAGAACACTAATAAGCACTGTTCATTAAAATCTCATTACCTCTTTTTCTAGGCCTGAACATAGCGAGAAACGTCTGTGCTTCTTTGATACCCAGTGCAGGATGAAAAGACTTCCTGGAAGTATAATAAACGTGTAACTAAGAAAATGTCCCTCCTCTAATTAGTCATGTCCAAAAGTGAAAAATGCCTTGGGAGATGTTTCTGGTGGAGCAGAAGAAGGGCACCACACATGACCAAAATGTTTTGTGTGTGCTGATTGTGCAGAAGGGTTCAAAGAGAGCACAGTTCAAGTGGCAGCCTGCAATATGTCTGGGTTAAAAATAAAGCTTGTAGATAAAGTTCCTGCTGGAAAGGCAGGTGTACAATTTTTGTAGAGATTTTCTTTTTTTTTAAATGCTAAATGGAAATAGCAGCAGGTTACAAGTGGCATCGTTCTGTGTCTGACCCATCTGGTGACCACATGATGGAACTGTTCTCTGAGAAGCTCTGCAAGGTATCTTCTTGACCTCTCCTCTCTGCTAGAGTAGCTTCCACATTCAGGGCTGTAGAGTCGTTTAATTTACGTGATGTTTAATGCTCTTAATCTCAGACTCCAGCGTATGTGTAACTATTTAGGCAGTTTCTATCTGCAAAGCCCCTGAGTGGAAGCATTATGGAATCTGTATTACACCTCGAGTGCCATATGCGAATGATGCAAATTTACACACTGACTTTAGAGCAAAATTGGAATATAATGAATGTGCACATGGAAGATGATTTTTAGAAGTTTGAGTTCAGTTTAGCTGATCCAGGTATATCTCTCTGGACAATTACATGGCTGTGATATGCTGTAATTTAAAGTTAACCACCTTAATCTCATTTGGCATTTACTGAAGGCTATAACAGAGCTTTTGTATTGACGTAAAAGCTGCCAGTAAGTTTCTCTTGAAAATAATAATAATAAAAAAAGAGAAGTAGCATTTTAAAATGCTTTTTTTCACATTTTCCTGAAAAGATTTCTTTGGGTTGTATCATGGTGTGCCTTTGATCAGTAATGGTGATATATGTATTTGAGAGAGAGGGGATAGTTGTATCATATGGCCATTTAAAATATTTTCTTGCTAATTTTACGTCACTTTCTTCTTTTGTGATTAGTGCTAAAAATGAAGAAGTAGAAATTGTGGTACAAATCTTGCTTGTTATTGAGGTAAGACTTTGCAAAGTGCTGCTGCAGTCATTAGATGATGGGGAAATATGACCGATGCGCTGGCCTGCACCGGTCATTTTGGTCTCTGCTCATGATGTCCTCCAGAGGATTTAGAAAGTTGTGGGACTTCATGGCTGCTGCTCTTCTGAGTTGTGTGGTACAGCTTACAAGAGCATTGTCTTTCTTGAGCGTTCCCCAGCTTGCCAAACACAGCCTGATTTGAGCTTGTTCAGACCACCCAACACAAACAGCTGCTTCTGTTTACAGCAAGACCCAGGGTGTTACAGGTAAGGTAACACTCGAGTTAAAAATCAATATTACATTTAATTTCTAAAAGCTTTTACTCTCCAGATGTTGGGCTTGATAGCATATAATTGAGAAGAAGGGCAGGGCTCTTTGGTCAAGTGAATTGAGGAGGAAGGATTCTACCCACTGAAATACTGGTGGGTTCCTCAGCCTGGCTCCCAAAACCATCAATGCTGGGCAGGTAAATCTTGTTGAATATCAGTATCAGTGCATTTTCAAATGTTCCTTGCATCATTCTGGAAGTTGTACTTTAACACATCATCATGACTGAATGAATCAAATAGCAGAAGCTGCTGACGTTATTTTCTTGAGAATTCTCTTGGAGGTTTCCAGAAGGCAAAGTCTCTTTTCCAGTCCTTTCCTAACTTGTAGGTGGCTATTTTGGAGGCTAGCTACCTACCTCCAAGCATTGGTTCTAATTGCTAGCAAATCTTTGTGCAAGACCTCCGGCTCCAGACAGCAGTGTGCTCTTGCAGAGATGTGTAGAGCTGTGGTCGGGCCAGTGTTGCGTCTGACTTCTCCAGGGACAAATCTGAAGTGATTCCTTTCAAAGTTAATTCTGTCTAGACTGTTAAGAAATCAAAAGGAAGCAAGGGTGGTATGTTTGATTTTACAAGGCAATAAGCCAAAGCTGTAGCTTGAAACATGTTTTTTTTTCTGCAGTTAACAAACACAGTACCGGTTCAAGAGGCGATGTTTTATTGCTGCAGCAATAAACTCTGCAGCAGTAATTTTTCTCTACCTTCTAATATCCCTCTGGGACATAAAACCCATCTTTCCACCTAGCACTGAGGACTTCAAATCTGGTCCTCCACTGAAGGCTCTGCAATCAGAAGAGGAGCTTTTTCAACTGCTAGTAACAACATATATTGTAGCAGATTGATGAGAGAGTGGAAAAATTAAAGGAGATCTAAGAATACAAATCCCAGTTATCTGACAATCATCTCTCCGACTCTGACCAGCACCTAGCTGGATGACTGGGCTTTGGAGAGAGCTGACAGTGAAAGCTTTGTGATGCTCCTGGTTTGAGTGCCCAAAACCCATGCAGAATTGATGTGATGGGCCAAATTTGTCTGGAAATGTTCTCCGCTATCATGAGAGCATGGCTTTTGGCGTAGCTGCTAGGTTTTGATGCTTTTTTAGGGTGATACTCTCACACTCCTGGTGTAATCTTCTTAGTTCTGGGTGAAAAATGGGTATTTATAGTAGTCCCCCCATTAAACCTTTTCTTTAAATGTTTTAGCACATTGAATAGCTCCAATCAGAAGCCAGTGTTGAGTGGTCAATAGGTTTTTGTTTGCTCTTTAGCAAACCTGTTTGGAGAGATTTCTAAAAGCATCTCCTGAAAGCTAGATGGTCTAAGTTCTGTTATCCCATTCAGCTGTTGATTCCATCAGGATGATGTTGGGTAAACCACTGAGTATTCTGTGCTTCTGTTCACTCTTTGTGAGGTACTTCCATCAGTATTTTCCTTTAGGCATTTACCGTAATGTGCTGGGAGAAGCCATGATTCTCCTCTGTTCTTATTCAAGTTCCCCACAAGAGAGAGAGTGCTGGGAAAAAAACAACCAATGTCCTATCTGCCCTTCAGAAAAAGTGTTTTGGTGGAAGAAATGAAATTACTGGGTGCCTCTTCCTACCTCACATCTCACTTTGATGCACAGGTAAGTCGCTTGAGCTGCAGTGGGATATTGTTTGTGCTGAATGCTAAATGGCTTTGTGATCATTACTTAATGAAAACCACATGTAATGAGTTGTCAGACAAGATGCTTTGTTCTTTGCTGTAGAATGCGTGAAACAGCCCTTACAATCTGCATGCCTGCTGGTGCTGTTTGTCTTTTTGGAAATAGCTGTATCAGTAACAGTGGGCTCCTGCTAGTCTACATTTAGTGGCTAATGGCTATTGAATTCCTTCAGCATCGGTAATAATAGCCACAGGCAGAGGTTGACACAGCAGACAGTGATTTGAAAAAAGGGAAAGTCGAAATTAGTGATGCAGAAGCATTGTGGGTGTACACAAGTGGGACGACATGCTTTCCCCAGCTTTTGCTGGCAAGGGCTGCAATTAGTTATAGTCAAACCCACTGGGTTTTGCATTGTTCCTTATCCCAAGGGACTGCTGTTTGTTCAGCTGCTTTTCCACTTGTCTTGTCTTTTCAGCATGAAGAACTGTCTGTATGTCATGCTGAGACATTGAGCTGATGTAATTTCTGTAGTTGGAGACTGAATTCACTTGGGAAACAGGTGAAATTCTCTAGCTATTAAAATAGGCTCTTCAAACATATGGGATGCACAGTTTTTTGGGGGTGCCATCGTGGCCTGACAGGACAGGAGATGCTGACATAGAGAAAACCTCTCCTGGATGTGGGGCATGCTGGGAAAGAGCTGCGTAGAGCTCAAAACGTGAGGTGAAGAGATGGTCTTCCTCTTGGGATTTCCTCAGTTCAGTCCTCTTCAGCAACGCAGCTGTGACTTAGATTTTGATTGCTCTGGATTTTAATAAGGGATGCTTTGAGTTTGACTTACCTGAGATTCTTCTGCCTTCTTGCTTTCAGTATCCAAGAACCCAATACCTTTGTACCCAGTGCTCCCCCAGTGTTTGTCAACTGGAAGACCGAGTGTAAGAGTAAAAGTTTGTATTGCTGGTGAGCACATGTGGAAACTCATAAATATTGGTATTGGTAAGGGCTCACCTGAAAACACATTGGAGCCAAAGAAAATACTCATTTCTAGTATCACAGAATGGCTTAGGTTGGAAGGGACAAATCCAATTCCAACTCTGGGCTGTGGGCATGTTGCCACCTACCCTCCAAGCTGTTCTTGGGCACCTCCAGGGATGGGGCACCCACAGCTTCTCTGGGCAGCCTATGCCAGGGCCTCACTGCCCTGTGAGTAAAGAATTTCTTCCTGACATCTAATCTAAATGTTCCTTTTTTGGTTTAATACCATTCCCCCTTCTTCTAACACTGTCAAAGTGAAAGGCCAGTGAAAAATGTCAGAATTTGGCTCTGAAGCCATCCTCTCTTGTACCAAATATGTCCTCTTGTTGATGTGAGTAGTAATTGTTCTAGTTGCTGTTCACAAAGAAAGGATTGACATTTTGAAGGACAGAGCTGTTTCCTGATGGCAGTGAGCAGTGCGGAGCCACTCGCTTGGCTTCCCGCAAGTGACCAGAGCATCCTAAGGAAAGCAGCCCAAAGGGAACCAGTCTTTGAAATGCAGTCACCCACTTGAATTGTAGCTGAATGTCCCATAAAGGTTACAGATCTCCCATCTGCCTCCTTTTAGGATTTATCTTGGCTGGGAAAACAGACAGCAGGGCCTGCTGCCTTGCTCTGACTTACCTCGCTCACAAGCTGATAGGACCCAAAGCCTCCTGCTGCCAGGCATGCTAAATCTGGCTGAGATGGATGGCCGGCTGTCATCACCCAGGGATGCGATCGCACCCTTTCCCCTCTTGTGAATGAGCTGTAACTTAAACCAGGAGTAAAAAGTATGCAGAGTTAAGGGTGCTGAATTTTTTCCTCCAAATTGGGAGTCATGGATCCAGATCTTATCATGCCCTTCCAAGTATGGAGGAGGTTAACTGGGGGAAGATAACACAGATATAGCTGAAAATGAGATGACAGCGACCAAATTATGCTGGAAATTTAGCTGGAAATCAGCACCCAGATCAAGCTGTGGGTGTCCCTGTTTGTTGCAGAGGAGTTGGACTAGATGGCTTTCAAGGGTCTCTTCCAACTCAAACTATTCTGTGATTCAGTGAAATGTCAGTAATGGATTATTCTGGGTGTAGGAGTACAGCAAGGGTTAAAAGCTCAGCTCTCCTGGCCGTGGATAAACAAGAGCTGGCTGTGCTGTACTCGGGTTGTT